ATATATATATATATATATATCGGTAGAAATCCAATCTTTTGTACGAAATATGCGCGAAATAGCGAAAGTAGAATGTACGAAGGACCGGCTGCATGTACGTTCTTTGAAAGAAATCTTCTCCGGTACAACAAAAGCATCGAGGAAAGGGAAATAATAACTTCGAGAGCTTTGCCGATTCGCGCGAGATTATCCGAACGAAGTGTGAAAGAGATACCCCGTAGAGGGGGTGGAGGGCGAGGCGGCGGTCAAATATGCGGCGCTTCATAGAAACGGAAAAGTTTATCCACGGAGGCGCGCGAGCCATAAGTATGCAGTTTAATTCAGCGTTAACGATAACTCCGGGGCGAATTTAATTAAGCAAAGGCGCGATCTTTCTGCCGGCTTCCCCGCAATTTGACCGCCGACGAATATCTGCCGCGATCCGTGAGCCTCTCAAACCACGGAGAGACTGAAAAAAAAAAGAAATTGAACAGAGAAGAGAAATAACGCGGAGAGATTGTAAAGAGAAAGAGAGAGAGAGTTAAATCGATGATTAAAAATTATCGAGTATAATTTTAGACAAAAAAAAAAAGCCAAGCCAATTTAAAAAAAATCTGTCCGCTTTGTCCTACGCTCGAGCGAGGCATTCTCTAAATTTTAATCGACACCTATCGTCCCGAGGAACAGTCTTCGAAAAATCATTTCACGCACAGTGGGCTGCGAGAATGAAATTAATAAGGTCCCTTTGCCTAATTCACAAGGAGAGATTCACAATCGCGCCGCGAGTTTTTTCCGTGTCGCGTCACGCTTCTGCGGCGCATTAATTACGCTGACTTTCCCTGGCGAGCAAGCGGACCGCTTTGGTAATGCTTTTTAATGCTGATACATTTTAATTGCAGGCTTTGTTCTCTACTACCTATTGTTCATCGGCGTGGTGGTGATAATGCAGATATACGAGAACCGGGAGGAGAGGTTAAAAAGTAAGTGAGCTTTAATGCCGCGCAACTTTCCGAAACGCTTGACAAAGCGTCATTCACTGGTCGCTGCGGTTAATAATACCCCACAGCCACGAAAGGGAAGGAGAATTCCTCGTTTCCCAAGGCGAAACAAAGGATCTCAAGCATTGAATTCCGAACAAATCCTCCATTCGAAAGAATAACCTTTCTCTGGATTTTCCAGCTGCTGGTCTGAGTGTAGTGTGATCTGAATGCGATCGCCGCGTAACGCGG